ATTATATATTATATATATATATATATATATATATATATGTAAAATGAAAGATTATTGAGATAATTTCAGCAACGTTTTCTCTTGCAAAAACTTTCGTTATGTCTTTGTTAACAAGTTATAAATTATTACAAAAAAAAAAAACTGGCCAATTATAAAGCACATAGTTTAAAGCTGCGATGATAACATTAGCTACTGCCATCGATCTTCAAATACAAAATAAAGTTTTATATATATATATATTTTTTAACATGCAAATAGATTAAACTTTATTTTATCGGATTATTTTACATTTCTTTTTTTTATGTTTTTTTTTATATTTTCTTGTATTTTTGGATATATATAATCTATATTATATTTAATTATATTATATTTAACATATAAATTATATAATTTTAATATTAAAAATTTATGAAATCAAAAGTTATGTTCAATTTTTTCATTTTTAATTATTTTATATTTAATATTAGCTGAAAACAAAAAGTTGTGCAATGCTTTTTCATATTATAAAAATTTGACTTCACATTGTCATGTGATTTTCTTACTATTGTAGTATTACATGCAATGTTAGTAGTTTAGAAGAAAACGATTGAAGCATTAATACTGGAATTAAAACTTAATTTTATTACGAAATTAAAATAAATAAAACAGTTATTATAAACAAAGTATAAAAATCTATATTTTTCAATTTAATCATCCATACATAATAGATAATTACGAAATATGATTATAATATGATATTTGATTTTGGTGGAAGCTTTATCATGCATTATAATATATTACATATTATTCATGCGAAAATTTGAATCTGTAAACCATTTTTAATAATAGAAGAAATAGCAATTGATTTTATATTTTTTTGCAATTATATCTGGTTAAACTTACATTACGTTATGAATGTCCAGCAATTCTGTTTTGAAAAAAAGATAAATGCGAAAAAAAACATGGAAATAAAAATATTAGAAAATTCTCAATACTTTCTTCAATATGTCAACTTTAATGAATTATAAATTATGTTAATTATTATTAATATTATATGTATTATATTATTATTTGAATTTTTCTTTTCGAAAATAAAAAAAATATAGAAAAAGTACTAAGAAAAAGAAGAGAAAAAGAAAAATAAATCAAAATTTTGATAAAACTAATATATTTAGAAAAGAGAAGATTAAGAAAATTATTAAAACTTATCTTTATCTTATCTAAACTTGTCTATTATTAAAAGAAAACCTACTAAATCTACTAATCTCTATGGACGAGTTGAAATCTTAATCATCTTTTGGAGCTTTAATTATGTTTTGCAATTTTTCTTTGCTAATATTGAATGACAGATTCAACATCATATTAATTATTATACTATTTATTGCATATATTTTAAAGCTTGTAAGAATGAATTCTCTTAATGCTAATTTTAGTAGTGACACAGAAATATCTGCCTCAGCATTTATTTTTATATTATTCTTATCTTTAATAAGGCAATTCAATGTATAACTATCCAAAATTACTCGATATGATCTTTAATTTCATTGATAATTCATTACTGATAATGATGATTTCAATGGTATGATAGATTGATCAGCTGCATTTCAATGTGTTACTTTTTTCTCTAATTCTAGTGGTAAAAATAAATTGTTCTGGTTTTTTCAATTTGAAATATCATCTCAATGATGGATTTTTTTGGATAAATATTATGATTATCATCTTATAGTTTTATCCGTCTCTTTGTATCATTCTTTTTGATATCAATCATGATCATGAAATATATTATTTTTCTTCCAGTGAATTCTGATTTATTCACATCAGTGAATTTGCATTGACCCATTCAATATCTGGATGATGAACCCAATATGTATTTATTTATAAAATAGAATGCATTAAAATAATTTTATGAATATTTATTTAAAAGTTATAAGAATATGATATCAAAAAGATGATTCTAATAATATTCTATTCAACAATTAATTTACATATCACAAGTATTTTCATGATGATACAGCTTATGTGATAATCGTTTCTCTTATCAAGTAATTGTATATGAAGCAAAAACAAAAAAATGTTTATGAAAAGAATTTTTTTATAAAAATGTTACTTAAAGATTGATTGAAGTGCAAAAAAATTTGTTTATTTTACAAAAAGAAAAAAAATTTTTTATATTTTAAAATACATACAGATAACATAATTATAACAATATTAAGTAGTAATAAGTTGAAAAAAAAATAATAATATAAAGAAATAGAAGAATCATAGATGTGAAAAATTGAGAAGGAGTAAAAAACATTTTAAATATACAAATTCAATTGGAAGAAGGAATCTGATAAATATTGAAGGAATATTGAAAAATTGCTGAAATTATGAATTATGAATATTTGAAATTAATCACATGTGTGTTCATGTGTTAGTAGATGAAAGTTCAATAAATATATGTATGTAAAATGCTCTTTCGACAGATAACAAGTGATATATTTTTTCAATGATAATGGATTGTATAATGGATATGGATTTATAAATGCGATACATCTAATATTAATTTCTCACAATCACATAGTAGATGATTGTGTCCGATGATCAGAACATAATGCATAATTATAAAGAAACTATCTATCTTTTCATCATTCGGCGATCAAAATATGTGTTTACAACAAGATATTAATTAGATTCGTTTTTTATTTTTTCGTGAGAATTCGTATCTTCAGAAATTTCTTCTAAGTTCAATTGAAAGAATCATAGAGAATATGATAATTTGATAATATTAAGATCGTGTCAGAATCCTGACTTGCGATATCTTAAAAAGAAAAATTCCTTGAATTAAGCTGCTAGTCAGCATTGCAAAGATACAGTCATAATCAGGAATTGATTAACATATATTTATTATATAGATTTCTTCGAATGTAGGATGATGTTTATTGCTGTTGAATCAATCGTATCTGAAATATATCTTGGATTTGGGATCATGTTTAAAAATATGCAATTGTAAATGTCAACTAAACTCAAAAACGGAAATTTCCTCAGGTAAATTATCCTTTGTTCAGACTTAATGGAAGTCAATGATTGATAATAATGGATATTTACGTGCGAGGAATTTTTTCGAATAGCAAATCATTAATCTCGCAAACAATAAATATTCATGAACAGAAATAGTTGTATATAAAATTATACAACTGCATCATAATGTGACAAAAGTCAATAATATAATAATTTAAAAAAATGGAGTTTTTTCAATCGATTGTTTTCTGTTTAGAAATAATAAATGATAATAAGTAAAATGTATAAGATTAGTATATAACTGAAATTGAAATTAGTTACGTATATTCAAGCTGTTTATCATAAAAAAAACTATATAAAAACGAAATGGAATTAGATTCTCAAAAATATCACAAGATTCAAAAATTTTAGTTTTAAAAAATTCTGACTTTCTCGAAAATAAGTGATATTATACTCATTTACAAAAGAGTAATAAATTTTATTGAAAAAATGTGTTAATTCGAAGATAAATTGCGAAAAGATAAGATTTGCAAAAAAATCTATTTTAATAAGTAAATTATTGCTTCATATTTTATAATTTTATAATTTTAAATATCTAAAGTTTTGAAAATCTTAATTTTTTCGAGAATTTGGAATTTTCAATCCGATTCGATTTCTTCTCAGTTTCGATTTTAGGTTCTCAATCTCTAGAGATCTGCTAAAACAAAATCTGAACAGACATTCAAACATGATAGAAGTGTTGCAAAGATCAAATAATATTTAACTGATATTTAACAACTTTAAACTGCCACAATCTTATTTCTATATAGAATGTGATTTTTTTTTTTAACTATCTAAATCTGCCACTAAAAAACCAAATGGAATAAGAAAGAACATAAAAGATATATTCTATTATTA